TGAAATTTTTGTCCAGACTTGTCTAGATCAAAGTTTCACTCAAAAGAGGAAGGGTCTATTGCAAGTGCAAGCAGTGAGTTTCACACTTCAAAAAAATCCGCCATGAAAAAATTGGATCGCTTCCTACTTTCTCACGGCGATTTTTTTTCTCGCTATATTTATTCAGCTAGTATTAGTATTCAACCATGGATAGTTAAAAACATGTGTTTACTCACAAGTAACTATTCTTCATAATAAATTCTTTTCTGTGCCTGTGAGCATTATGCAACGCCAAAAAAATGCCAGGTCTGAAAAAGGTTCTGGGTTCCAAGATGCCACCATTATTTCCGGCTATTGTGTCTTTAGTAATTTTGCAAATGGTCTGTACAGGGTGTCCCAAAAAAAGTCCAGTTCCCCTATAGAAATCACCCTTTTGTTGTTAAACGTGCGTTGTCACACCTCTGGGAATTTGTACGTTAACTGAAAGTGTAACCGAAGTGTTACATTATTTGGACGAAGGGGACTTTTGAAATACTTCCGCCGTTCATGTACAATAAAAATTAAATTCCCAAAGGTGTCGTGATCTCTACACGGGGACTTTTTTGGGACACCCTGTATAACTTCATATCGACATTTAACAATAAACCCGGGCCGCAAATGACGTCACACGCCGGTGATGATGCATCTACGGTTGATTGTTCAAAGCTGGGTTAACGCTAACCCTCGATTAAAATTTAAACAACTTTTTTAGTTTATGTATTTCTGCACGTCTGTTATTTCAAAACTTCAGAGAAGAAAACTCCTACTGATTCAGACAAGATCTCTGAACTTTTATTTCCCAATTTATAAACAAGTTCTTGGGAAGTTTGTTTTGAATTTTAAGTTAACCTACAATCGTGGACAAAACCTGTTACAGGTAAACTACGTGAAGCGTTTCTCTTTTGACTTCGTAACTCATTTGGAATTTTCCTCATTAGCTTTGCAAATCTGAAAAACTCTTTGCAAATCCCTTGAGGGAATTTGCAATGTTCCTATCGGCTGTTGCAATAT